TTATAACTTATACTTTCCGACATTTTTTTTAATACCGTTTTTGGTGTTGAGTCTCTCAACGCAGTCCTACTACACTTTTTTGATTTACTTTCCCCACCGTCCCTGTTGAGGGACGGTGCTTTCCCTAAGTTACGTGACTAAAGCGCAGAATAGAGATAAAATTTCGAAAACTAAAGAATTTTACGAATTTAGGGCCGGCCCTAAATTATTTGTGTTAACACTGAAAAAAGGGGAATGCGGCCTCGCAGAAAAAATATTAATCTTAAAATGCGTAATTGTTCAAAACCGAGTTGAGACTACTATTTAAACACGTCACGTTAGTTCTGACCAAAACAACAATAGTATTATGTACCCCCCCCCCGCCAATAAATAACAATGAGTCATACTGAAACCGAAAGTGAAACATTGCACTTTGTTAAAATTTATAAAACAATAAAACACATAAAGCGACATTTGTGTTGATAAGGCGAACCCGTCGAATGACCAGGAGCCGAAAATGAATTTAAAATAAAATTTTATTTCAGCGTAATTTCTTGCGCCCGCCGACTTGTAAGCGCAAAAAATTGCTAAACAAATATTATTTTTATCTTAATTTTTTACCGCCCGCCGCATAGCAAATCCAAGTTGCATTTTCGTGGGAGTATCATGATCAAAGTACCGAAGTCTCACGCAGATGAGAAACAAGGTTATACATGGAATAAAATTGTATTTCATTTCTTCTATCCGATCAATGATCTCACTTACAATTCTTTGAGAATCACACAAATCTAATGTAAAAAAAGAATTAATTTTTTTTTTTTTTTTGTTCGCCCTCCTCAAAAAAATTGCCTTATAAAAACTCGAGAAACAAGGAATAAAAAAAGTATGGCCTAAACATTGATTTTCCCAAAATCCAATGCGCTCTTCTAATCGAAAATCAAGAGTACGAGTTTTGACCTTGGTGCAACGTGCACTAATTACCACCGGTGACTTCTTTGATACCTTTCAATCACCAAATAAATTACCTAGTTAAAGCTTGGTAACGACTCAATTTGTACCCGTTGGTCTGCACAACAATCAAAGTCGCCATTTTTGTTCATATCCCCCCATATCCCGCGCATGCGTGGCGCGACGACCACCATCCTTTAAATGACCGCTATTAATTTGTTTATTCATTCATTATTGTAAGATTAGTATATGAAATGCACTGAGCCGGGTTGATCGCTGTGCTATCAAATGAATTCTAAGCTGTACATACTTTTTTATGCTAACAAATTCAGTGTGCGCGTTCTAGAATGCATTTTTATGTATTTTTTTTTATTGTGACACAAAATGGAAGTGTTATATAAATTATATAAACTTTTGTACTCAATATAAATTGGTTTATTTCTTTAGTACTATTCCAAATACGGAAATGGACATTCATGTATAGTGAATTAGTAAAAACCTCGTAATCTGGTATCTGATGCATCAATGTACAGCGTCGAAGGTTAACACGGATTAAAAAATACGTCAACAAACGCTGATCGTGACCGCCAAAGCTCCGCAGTAGTCGCCCAATTGAATGAGCTTTTTTATATGCATTGTATGTATGGTACATGGGACTCGACGCGATGCGACTACTGTGGTGAATTACAGTGCGTTGCGCGAGGTAATAACTTTACACATTTAATCATGGTCGCGATATAAATTACGGGAGTTATTCTGTTGATTTATCGACCAACTTTCTTCCAATAATCCAACAGGTTATTTCAGTGATATCTTATCTGGTGGATGCTTTCCATGTTCATGGTGTTTTCCGAGTGACAAACAGCAAGCTCCACCAAGAATTCAAGAATGCATAGAACAAGGAATGCCACCAAATTTCCAGTGTATGCCGAGTCGTGTTTCTGATGGTGTTCCTACATTCATAGGTTACGTAGAAGGTAGGGTGAAACTATGCAGTGTTTCATGGGTAAATTGAGGGCGCGTGGTTTTAGTGGTTTTACTTGTGGTACAGCCTCGAAGTTGTAGCAATTTGACACCTAAACCGTGTAAATATAGAACATTCAACAAAAAAGAATATTTAGGGCTACGGGTGCCAATAAACTTGCATCTATACCTTAACTTTAAATGGAAATTATTTAGTTCATTGTCAACAGCACAGAGTAACATATGTATGCGTTTTATTTAACTACATATGTACCATCACAATCACAGTAATTTTTCCTTCCATATCCCATATTGGTTGGTTGGTATATGTGTGAAGATTGTTATGTCAAATGCACCCGTGTAAAATTACTAACTACGAGTTACATCAACGGCTTTCACCAATTGTTGCATCAATCATGGTTTTTTAGCTTGCACATTATCTCGTATATAATCGACTTTATTCTAATAATGAAACTTTTACTAATGTTGCCATTATTGTTGATGTCATGTGATCTGCTTCTTCCACAGATGTTTATAACAATAAAGAATCCGAAGTTTTGCATTCCGTACTATCAAACACAGTCAATACCGACGCGTATTCCGACGATCCGACACTTCCAAACGAGTTTTCTAATCTGCTATCCAAACCAAGCCACCGCCACTTCAGCGTCCCGACTGTTATCGTTTCTGGAGTTCTCATTTTCATATTGATTGTCATGGCGGGCGTTTTTCTTTTCCGCCAGAGTAGGGTATGCGCCTTTCACAAAAGAGGGTATGTCAGCTTAGACGACGCCGCCTATGATTACTCGGCTTCTCGTCAAGATGTGAGAATCAATGTCAGGGTAAATCCACTCGAAGATGTGGAGGGGTCTCATTAACTAAATGACTCACAGATAAATTGTGTTCTGGCTGTTCGTGTTTCAGCAGTTCTGTTCTATTCGACTCGCCATATAATGCTCCAGGGAAACCGACGGAACAACAGAATGAATGGAGTGATGTTTCCATTTATAATTGTATGATTGATCGGTTGATTGATTATCATAGTTTGTGCTCTGCTGTTTTTATTAACATTTACATATCATTGCATCCTTTGAGTGCCCTTGATTATAAGGGTTTTTTTGACGTCGTATATTTATTATGCAATACAATCCAATACAATATTTCAAACCTTTATATACTTTTACTATTTTTCATCCCAATCCGTCCATTTTTTTCACATGAATTTTTTCGAATTTTGCTAAATTATTTCCTGTAACTGTATTTTTGAAAGTTCAAAGTCAAACACAGGGATACCTAAATTTAGAACCACAATTTCAGGTATTTTAACAAATGGCCAACTGGAGCAAGTATGATATTGTATATATATATAAATATTGTCAAAATACTAAAAATTATTTTTCTATTTGAATTAAATACATACGTATGTGATCTTTGCCATTTTTAAAACAATGTCTTAACGCTATTTATACGTGTTGTTATTTTAATTAATGCACTACAAAATGAATATGTTTTTTATGGAATTTTAAATATAATATACACTACTTTATATATGTACTTTTATTTTTGTATTATCGTGCAATGTTTCATAAACTGATACACATATATTGGACAAGTATTTTCAACACCGGGTTCGTTGATGCACTGTATAGTAATACAAGATATATTTGTGGCGTGAAATACATTATGGATATAACAGATATATATATCACAAGCTTTAATAAAAAACAAGTACAATAATTGTGTTGTGTGGGTCAATGTCTCCATATTGACACCAAACTCACGCAATAAATAGTGTTATAACACATAATAGCTACACTTTCAAAGTACTGTCTGGATAACTTGACATCACCAAATTAAACATTTCCTAATTACGACACAGAACAGCACAATTATCTTAGAACTGACATTGCAAATACGCAGTCACTGTATACAAGCACACAATATGCATATTTATATCACAATGAAACGAAATAAAGAACTGATTTCAACGATACTAGCCCTAAATATTATAGACTAGAACCTGACTAAAAATATAAATACAAGTATACTCGCATGCATACAAGCTTATATCTTGTGTAAGATAACACTCCCCTAGTGAAAACTATTTTTTTTGAAAACAACATTACATCTCTACATAGGAAGCCGCCATGTTTTGAAGCACACTTTATCTACCGAAGTGTACCAATCCGCCAAGATCCATGAAACCATCCAGCTCCGATTGCATGATATTGCAATCCAGTCATCCCTCACACTATATCATTATACAGCAATCCAATGCCCTCTGATACACTCAGACATTATCAGAGGTGAAACTATTTGAATAGCCGGACTCATTTTTGACGTATGTCCTATAATTCATATTTATATATATATTGTGTTTTTATTCACACGTCCATGTTATGTTTTCCGTTCACTGCTAGAATCACGTTGTGCGTGAAATCGAACGTAAAAACAGGACAAACAAAGGTCATAGCGTCGTAGTGGCGTCAAACATCGCATGGGATACAACAAACGCGAAAATATTTTGGGGGCATTTTCATGCTTAATAATTTGCTGTACACATTTGATGATAGACAATTTCAGTTGAGGGTATTCGAAAGCAATATTCCTCTGTCGAAGATCGGCCGGTCGATGTGAGCTGCGAAATAAAGAAATTCGAGTTCAAAATCAAATCGTTCGATTTTTGCGGCAGACGTTCGACGCGCGTCTTTCATGCATCTCGCGAGATCTCGCAGTTGAACGGAATATCACCTATTCCGTTGTATTTATATCTACTAAGGGTTTTTACTCGTGGGTGACATTGAGTAGTGTGTAATAACGTCCCCCCCCCTACCTCTATAATATAATAATTCATTGTGTAGGTTGTATATATAAACTTATATTTATGTAGACTTCAATGAATGAATGACAACCAAACTGTGAACGATCTACACCTCACCTCCTCTCCCATTCCCACAAAGTCTTGAGTCTACTTTAAATGTAATCTGTCTGGTGTATGTTGACACGCAGGTCAGCTGTCCGGAATGTATGTCGTAATTGATCTATACAAAGATAAACGCGTACTAAGTAGTACAGTTTCCTGTGTGTCTTGGAGTGTCGTGCAGTGAACACGTAGTTGAATCCCATCCATATACAATGTTACTAACTTCAGTGTACTGGACGAGTCCTGTTAGTATCGTACTTTACATACAGTTAATTACCTCTGCGGTAAGTCTTAAATCCGTTCATCGTGTCTTGTAGTATTTAACTTATTTCAGACCCTATTGGATGTCAACCCAATGAATTCTTACGCTCAGTTCACCAGTATTCTGCTGTGTCGTGGCTATGTTGCTAAATTCTACGGTATTGTACCGTTTCTCAAAGAAGGACGATGGTCAATGTAAATACGTGTACGACTATTATAATTCACAACAACGTCAACACCGGGCCCAAGCTTAAAAAAAAGAGTAAAACTCGTCACTTATGGACATCCTACGTTTTAAATAGACATAAATGTATGTCGTCATCAAATGTGTGTCATAGGTGTTTTTTATTAGGGAAGTGTACTTGTTTCAATTTCACTGCCCTATTACACACTTAAGATATTGACATTAGGTCATAGGGTACGACTTGAGTGTTTCCTGTAAATGTATTTATCATTACCGGGTTTTCCTGATGGCGTATGATGGTTGAATGTTAGTCACAATGCTACTGTACACTCTGCTCCTCCCAGTTCATTCCACTGTACTGCTCGTGAATACCCATAATGCCCACGATATGTCTCAACCATAACACTGAGACCTTGTAATAAACACATCTGCCTGAGGTCATCGTACTCACTGTCAGTCAACAAATTACAATATCCGTAGAGATTGGGCTTTTTAATGAACTATCTCAACTATGACCTTGACTGGTGTTGTCTATACTATAGGGCTCATACCACTAATTGAATTTCCATAGACGACAATGTTAACATATGACGAGATTGCTATATGAAAATGACGAAGAAAGTTGAAAATATGGCTCAAAAATGGGAAATCAACATGCCAGTAATCAACCATATGAAAAAAACTAACATGTTGGCCAGCTCAAACTCTTGCAAATCTCAGGTAAACAAGACACACCTACTGTATTTGGATTGCACCAAGAGAAATCACTGGAAAAACACCAAGATTAGAACATCCATTAACACACAGAATAAACCCACAGGTACACAGCCGCTAAGTAGTAAACAAAAGACCACATGTTGGTCTCACCTCTGACCCAGGTGATTACGCCCTCAAACAGGGAGCACCTGAGAAAAATAATATTTAAAAAATTTCATTGCTTCTTGCTAGGCATTTAAATTGAGCAGCCATTGGTTAATTAGTGGCATGAGACCTATATACATTTGTTTTTGGCCAGTGAATAATCTGCACAAATATATGCGGTAATCATTAGAATGATACATGCATATGTAACGTGCATGTCACAAAATGGCAATATGGTAATTAGCGGATATTCAAAAAACAAGGAATCTAATAGTTTTCACAAAATCATAAATATCTACCAAAAAAATTGTTGTCAATTACTATAATGGCAACTTATATGCGGGAACTATTTTGACTTGGGTAAATTTTTTGTGTCACAATATTTGAACTAACTTTGATACATTGCTTGATGTTTGCAACCTGGCGTTTATTTTCACCCATAGTCATCTGGATGTGTGGACAGTAAGCAGATGGTGGAGATTAATTGCTGTTGTTAAACGGCTGTTCTAAGTTCAATGTTTGTTCATAAATGATAAAAGTAGGCTGTTACGTAACTGGTAATGGCCTGGAATATTAAACATGGTAAAGAACTGTCGTATTTAGTCACAGTGGTTGGTGATTAATTTGGCTTCACAATTGTAATTATAATATAATGTTTTGGGGAAGATTTTTTCATTTCTCCCCATTTCATTTTTGTTATTGCCGTTTATTTGCATTTGCTTAATTTTATTTGAAATTTAGTATCACCTAAGTGAAGACCCGAGGTTCAGAGCCTTATAGTGCATTGGTTTGTGGTATAGAGTGAGTCAGAGAAAATATCTTATGAGTGACAATACATTATAAGATTTATTATTTAAACGAGTGTAGTTATTTTAACTTGATCTGAGACTTTAGTGAGAAACAAGTGAAAATTACTGAACGAGTTTAATAAATCTGATTTTGTAGGGTCGCGAATTTGATATACATTTATATACATTTCAGATACATTTATTAAACTGCAAAATCCTCGCCAAGTAACGCAGGTACTTAATACTAGTACGTTAGGGGGTCAAATTGAAATATATTCAAGGATGGATGCCCAAGATACGAGACATTATGTAAGACATAACGCATTACAAACAAATCTGACGTACCATGTGCAGGACAGAAATGTGTTTCCACCATATTGGATTTTGTAAAGGATTATGAGATTCCCTAACCCCGCCCAAGGCGCCCTCTGGGACAGAAATGTGTTTCCACCATATTGGATTTTGTAAAGGATTATGAAATCCCTAACCCCGCCCAAAGCGCCCTCTGGGACAGAAATGTGTTTCCACCATATTGGATTTTGTAAAGGATTATGAGATTCCCTATCCCCGCCCAAAGCGCCCTCTGGGACAGAAATGTGTTTCCACGATATTGGACTTTGTAAAGGATTATGAGATTCCCTAACCCCGCCCCAAGCGCCCTCTGGCACAGAAATGTGTTTCCACCATATTGGATTTTGTAAAGGATTATGAGATTCCCTAACCCCGCCCAAAGCGCCTTCTGGGACAGAAATGTGTTTCCACCATATTGGATTTTGTAAAGGATTATGAGATTCCCTAACCCCGCCCCAAGCGCCCTCTGGGACAGAAATGTGTTTCCACTATATATGAATTTTGTAAAGAATTATTAGTTCCCTATAAACCCCGCCCAAAGCGCCCTCTGTGACAGAAATGTGTTTCCATCAATTGGATTTTGCGAGGGATTATGGGTAATTTACATAAAGGATGATGTTCATTTACACCGATTGCCATTGCTCTTAAGAGGAACCATCACGATATATATTGATAACATAATTTGGAAACAATTTAAACCATGACCATTTCACAATAAATGCATATTTCACCGCTAGACATGCGGTAAACAGATTTGAGGTTGGGAGAATTTGCAATAAGTATCAGACTACATTTTCAGAAATCTAAAACTACCACAATTATTCGAATTCATATAATTACTAATAATTATTTTTAAAAAATTGTAAAACCACCAACATAATGAAACATTGGCGTATTTTGTGACAGACAGCCATGTCGAAATTCAGTCGTTTTAATCAATGACCAATCAGATTATCGGAATTACATAGTTTGGAGATATCGACAGTTATTACACTGCTTTAATGTAAATTTCTCTGCGATGCGGGATGTAATTTCTTCACGGCCTTGTGGAATTTCTCGTCAGTGTGTTTAATTTTCTCCGGACCGAGTTTAATTTCTCACGATGCGATAAAATTACACATGCCTCTAAGAATTGTACTAACGGGCCACAGTCGACTATTAAATTTGTCACAGTACTATATTGTTTTCATTCGTCGGCGTTCAAAGTATTAGTTATTGATAAATAATTGACACAAACGCATCCATATCAGGTGTCTATTTTGGAAGCGATGATGAATTATCTTGCTAAATCTAGTTCCTTATTTCTCATATTCATGAAAATATTTATTTATCAATTACCCCTTTTTTTAATTAGGATCCAATTAGTTTTATGTTTTCTCTGTGTGGTCAGAGACTTGACCAGTTGAACTCCCTGGTCCCCACTATTCATAATGTAACGTGCTGTATCACATGTTTCAATAACGTGAAATCGTGAAATAAATTTATGAATCGACAATCTAGAATCGACTGTGCAAATACATAATGTGAATAAAACTGTTCTTCTTTTTGTAGTTATCTTTGAGTTCATCACCATGTAATGGAAATGATTCCGAATCGATGTACAAGATAACGACGATCAATGGCGAAGCCAATTGTGTACCATGTAGCAAGTGTCCAGCTGGGTTCGGTGTAGTGACCGAATGTCAAGGTGAACAGGACACGCAATGTGAGATATGTGCAGAAGGGACGTATTCAGCGGCAACCAGTCAAACATCGCCATGCAAACCGTGTACGACTTGTTCTTTTCATCTGACTACCACGAGAAACTGTACGAGAACACGAAACGCGGAATGTGCGAAGAAATGTGATTACGGTAAAAAGAACTTCACTTAAACATCTGAAAACAAATACTCTTTAAAATATGTGCCCACGTTTTATTTTCTTCTCTTCACGTTTACTAAATCTATATTTACTGTGTCTATGTTTACAGCATACTTCAAAAATGCCCTAACTGGGGAGTGTTCTCCTTGTTCGTGGTGCTTTCAAAACAAACCTGAAATGGCACCACCTGTCATACAGGAATGCGTAGATCAAGGAATGCCACGGAATTTCCAGTGCATGCCAAGCGCAAATAGAGACGATGTACCAACGTATAAGGAATATAAGAATCACCTGGGTGAGTTGTATGACTGTATGATTTGGAATCCATTTGTCTGATTTTACACTGATACCGATTGTTATGTCTAGTGGAATACAACCGTTCAGATATTGACCTATCGATATGTATTGTGATATCTAATCTGCATATAAAAAACAAATGACGGAAACGTAAAAATTTGCATATGAACAAATAAGTCTCGGAGCCAGTATGTTTTTGCTTATTTGAATATTTATACAAATCAATTACAACTGTGACATCAAATATAAACAATATTTTTTATAACATGATTGGCCAATAGTAACATGATGGTTAAGTGCTATCACCTACACATGGTGAACTATTAATTCAGCAGACTATACTCAAAGTGATGTTCTTTCCGGAATAGTCAAAATACTATTTGTCCCGCGTATGCGCTGAGGTCTTTGTTTTCAAATGGCAGTCCTGCAAACGCACAATGAAAGTGTTCTAGTATCCGACAAGGTTTTACAACGAAGTAGGAACACTAGCTTTAAACTACATTAATTGTGAAACTACTGGGACAAAGTTACCACTCCTATAGGAAGGGTTCGAACGGTTGGGTTGAGCGGTTGAGCGAAGGTTGCGTGGCTTTACGCTGCGACTATGCTGAAATACGGATTATGGTTAACTAATATTATTTTGAATTGGAACGTACTAACAATAGAACAGAGCACGGGATTGATTGGTATTCAATTCGTTTCGTTTCAGAAAGGATTTACCAATTTGCTGCCAAAAACCTCGCAACAGATTTTCTGAAACAGGATAACGTCACTGCAATTCCTTCTTCAACCAGCATACCATCTCACCACCATGTCACGATACCCATAGTCGTCACATCCGGTATCGTCGTGCTCATCTGCTTGATAATATTGATGATCATCCTTATCCAGCGATGTAACAAAAGGCAATCCCACAGATATGAAAATATCGACGAACGTTTCGACGAGACTGACGATGTGGAAGGTCGGCACAAAAACGGATACTGCAATCTCGTCGAGCAGCATGAATATTATAAATATATTCCAGCCGAAGAGGATACAGTTGGAAGTACTGCAGTGCAATATGGGAAGGAAACCGACAGTAGACGGTGTGTTGAACTCAATACTGCTACTGAAAAAACACGCATTGTGTGACTAACTGACGTAGTTCATTGTAAACACTATTACCAATGATGAAAACATTGGCTCGCAATCTCTAAAGAAAAGATCTCTGGAAGTGACATCATGTACAAGAAAATTAAGTATGACATTGACAAATGACTCATAACATAAATATGACATATTCTGCTGAACTTCTCATACAATGCACAGAAACAAATAATCAATGAAATGATTGCTGTGTCGATGCATTTTGCGGCCTTTAAAATACTGGTGCTACATGTACTTCCACGCTGATAGACAAATGGGAACACATCCTTTGTTCTCCGTGTTTGACCTTGATTCTTGATTATGTTTGAGCTTGTAATTGCTTATTCTAAAACAATGTACAACTTTAATGAGTTGGCGTTAGAAGTGTGTGCTACAGCCACATTGAAATATGTTTGTCTTCAAGTGCTTTCAAAATAAAATGTGTGGGACGTGGGGGCGAGATATTTATATTTGATATATCGTTTGTGTTCCAGCTTGTTCTGGGAATGATGCTTCACATATTGCAAAGTGGGAATGCAACTTTAAGTTTTAGTTTTATTAGTAAGTTTATATTTTTATAGTTTTATATTAAAGTTAACTTAGGATTATTATATTTTTTTACTTTATAATATAGTATTGTTTCTAGAAATGCCGATAATACTAAGGTTTGTTTTATATATTATAAACTTTAGCATATACGTATTCATATACAGGATTATGCATTTATTGGTGTCCCATTACAGCCACCATCTTTCAGAGATGTAACTCTGATGCAACATTCGTTAATCCAAAATGTCCGCCAATTGGCCATTTTAATCCGATATGTACCAAAGCATGTTATTAATGTATATATTTAGTTTCACGTACCTCCGACATATCTACAACATTATTTCAGTCATTCAATTATCTTTCCATTCACCTATACTGTGGTCCTCTTCACCCCACACCGGGACATAAGGCTGCAATCAGGTTCTTCCATTCATGTCTATCCTTGGCCACCATCTCTGCTCTACTCCAGGTCAGGTTTGCTTGGGCAAGTTCTGTGGTAATGGTTCTTCTCCATGTGGTTTTTGGCCTCCCTCTGTTTCGTTGACCCTTTGGCGTCCAGCAAAGTGCTGTTTTGGGGATTGAGTCTTGTGGCATTCTGAGAACATGGCCCAACCATCGCAGTCTTCGGCTCATTATTTCAATAATAGCTTTTTGTTATTCTAATTCCCATTACAATCATTCAAAAAAAATCGTAGTTGCCTGAATGAAATTCTACTGGTTCTGTTATGAGAGTGGTGCCGTCGACATATTATTTGTTTACACTGGCCACCCAACAACATTGCAACATGAGAACTACTGTAAAATACTTTATTATAGCTTGGAATTTATTTTATAAGGGGTGATTCAGTAAAAATTATTTTACATTTAGCTCATCAAAAATCAATGAAAATAATTTGCATACAAAACACATGACAAGTCTTTCTTTAAGTGACAATTAATTACAGCTAAAATCAAGTATTTTACAGTATTCAAATTCACTTTAGGTGAAATGTGCGTATAGGTTGAACAGTTTTGGTCACATCACACATTATTTCCTGACACCCTGTTCTAATGCAAACAAATTATTCTACACCCAGTATAAGTATTGAATTAGATCTTTATCTTCTTTGCCAAGTACAACCTTTCCTGTGCGTCGATGAAATGCATAGTCAATAGTCTATCAAATCATTGTTTAGAGAGCTAGATTGGTTTTACAAATTACTTTGTGCTCATGTGTTGAAGTATGTGATAATAAGGAGCTTCTGGATCCGGGTTTACATCCGGAGTCACTTATTTTTGTGTCCAACAATGAATGAATGGCCGTTGTTGACAACTTCCGCAATTCCTAAACTGCCTTTATTTATTAGAGTTGTTTTTGACAATCCTATTCACCACAGATCATACCACACAGTGTTATGTACAATGGACTCAATGTATAGTACATTCGGTTTAGATTGAATGAAAATCTTAACATGTATTTTTTAATAAAAGTGGAATTACCATGCTATGTTTCCGTGAACAGCGTGACTGGTGCATACGGAACTACAATGCAATACGGATAGATAGCGTGATTGCCATGTGGAAGAACGTTTAAACACATTTTCAAAGCAGACCACGAATGTCATCGTGGAGTAATCTAATTATAGGAAATAAATTCAATATGATATAATTTTTTCCTGAATTTTAATAACGAGGAAAAAGTATATACAAGACGTTGTCTGGTAACAAACTGTCATAGCAAGGAGTGTCATAGCAAAGGATCCTCTCACATAAACTGGTCGAATATTGTATTGTGAATGATACTAACGTAGCAACAGGGAAAACAAGGTAAAATTGATCTGTGATTCAAACATTCATTAAAAAATTATTAAGCATGCTACAATAACAAAATATCTAAAAGCTTATATATATACGGGATACACTAGTGCATATGAATGAAATGAAATAGTTGAAGCCTTAGAAGCTGTAGTAACTGTCGGCGCCTTTCAATTTTGTTTTTGCTTTGAATAAACATTATCTATGTTCATGTGACAATTGTGAACTATAGACTATTAAACTGTTAAAATTGATGTACCTGACACAAATTATTCAAAGTCCAAACATCAGTGGGAGGTTTCCTGTAGATCATACAAATTTGGAATGCAACATTCGTCCAACTTTATTTGGGGGCACTCATTTATATAATTTGTTTGGGAGTGGTTTTCTGACTTTTGTTTTATAAAAAAAAAACGGTAAAGATGAAATTCACCGGCCCGCCCCATGCTTACTGCGCCTCTCATGTACGGATATTTATGACGATAATGAATGTTCACCATGTGAACGGGTTCTAACAGATCCTCAGCAGTTTGTGAAAGTGGTATCACAAACGCTTTGTTGGATATGGCGTAAGGGTCAATGCTTAGTAAAAGGAATATTTGAGGCGAGTCGGCGTTGTTGCTATGCAAGTCATCTGTTTGGTATTGAATAATAAACATTGTACTTCGGATCGACTGCTGTGACACATTGTCCACCGCCACCATTTCCGCCGACATATCCTCTACCAGCACCACTATCACGCCAGCAGCAGTACCACCACCACCACCACCACCAAGAACTTAAAAGTATTACGCACTTGGTAAGATATCAATTTACTAGTTATATTGTATGCAAACAATGACTTGGCGTTATCGCAAGGTTTCAATTTAAGAAATGATATCACATAAAATACATTACAATACATACATAACATTATGTGAATACATTCAATTTGTTTGATAAACAATTTACCGTTGATACAACATTAATAATCGAGGTTTTAATGACGTCTCATTCAAACGCTGCACCTACGTCTAATTCAGGTCGAATTGCAGCAACATTCGAAATGATGTTTGTGCGATGACCGTAATTAACGCTGTATCGACGTCAAATTCAGTATACGTACGGCATCAATTATAAAATGTGAATAAGAACAAATAATTTACAATTCGGACCCTAAATCCAGACTCAAACACGATGTAATTAGGAATGAAGGCAATCTTTGATTAATAGATAAATTATTTGTTTAGTGCAAAATAGATAACAGCCGGTGTTTTTTAACATTATATTATATATTATATTATAATAATAATTTGTTTATTTTTAAAATATTTGACCATTAAACCGTTATGCAATGCATGCAGTGTTTTGGTGTACATAAATGTAACATAAACTGAAAACAAAAACGCAACAGTCGTACAAACAAACTGAAAACAAACCCTGAACAGCGGTTATACTAGTATTACCATAAACGACACACCATTACTTATCAGTGAAAGTGCTACTAACTTACCGTGTCCATAGGATTTGTTCTGCTCTGTATGTGATGAGTCATCAAGCAAGTGTTTGCTTTTAATTTGGCCAACACTACATATAAAGTACAATAATCAGGAAATAAATTCAAAAAGTCAGAATCACTCTGTCTTCTAATATCTAAAATGTATTTAGTTCACAACTCACTACGTTGTACAAACGTATTATGTCCAACCTCAGACTATTTATTAGTTGTTTGAGGTCCAACACACACACACACACACACACACACACACACATAATTTCTATCTATATGGCGTAACATAGCTTTTTAGTGGTGTTAGTGCATTAAAATTCATAATAACAAAGCGTGATATATATATACGCCAAAATAAGAAGCGAATAACAATAATTGCCAAAGCCCAAGACTAGCCTCCACATTAAGATGGTTCAGCCCTTACATGCATACCTCTGAGTACGGTTTTCTTCAGTATACACACTGAACGAATACAACGCCGTCTAGTATATTATAATAGTACTTGAGGACATGACCCGACACGTCGTTATAAACACAATATTGTCGACTGACCTATTGACACCCTGGAAAAGTTGAGTGTTTACCGCAAGCTCAGTTTTTGTCGAGTAACTTCCTCCTTTATTGTGTTGTCGAAAATAACACAGGTCGGGATATCGGAAGACAGGACATTCTCCGTAATGCAACATCTTTATTCTATTTTACATAACATTCCTGCCTGTACATATATATATGTTGTATGTATTTATAATAGGTGATTCATGAAATAAAACTACAAATCGGAATGTGAAGTTGATTTCACGTACCATGAAGGCACCAGACGATAGAGGGCGTGTCAGTAATGTGACCTTTTAATTTTATTTCTACGAGGCTAGACGCGTGTAATGGTGACATTGTAGCACTTTGTGGAAAAGGTAGATATAATGATTTGTTCGGTGCATTTGAATACATCTGTTTTTGTTTATATGGTTGATATGTTTTCGAGTCTTCGATGTTCAGGTCTACAATGTATTTGAGCGTGTGAGTGGAGTGTGAGGGAACTTAGATATATATATATATATATATATATATATATATATATATATATATATATATAAGAGTATAGCAAATTGTCACAAAATGTAGAATTGTATATATATATATATATGACGAATGTGTTGTTAGTGGTTCAGACAAACATGGATATACACCGTTCTCAATGAAAATTCCAAATTCACTATTCGTTTCTACAGCTTTTGCTTTCTTTCGCTTCATGTTTGTTCGTTTAATTCCGCCTGTAATCTGTGGGTGGTAAGCGTGGCATTACTTGTACACGAACACTTGCTTAGTCATTTTAGTCGTTGAATTGACCTATTACGTGCGTTTTCGCAGCAATGTGCATGGGTCACACAATATGTGGTCAATGTGAAAACTGTCATGGCGGCGGTGGAATTTCTAGTAGGTGATTAATCATAGGTAACTGCTCGCATACTTTAATGTATCATTCAATATGTTGTGTCGTGAGTGTTGTATGGTCTGTTTAATTTTGCCTTGTATGGCATGTAATAGCAGATATCACGAGTATAAAGTATAAATTATGTCTAATCAACAGAGTATATATATTATAGTTTGCGTCTGAGTAAATTATTAACAGTTGTAATCAGACAATCGGAAATAGCTTTATTTTGACATACCGTAGGAGTCACGTAGATGCTTGTAATAGTTTCGGTCCTTTGTAATTATTCACCGCAAATTCGAAAGTTGAAACAAAGCGTTTACATATTAACAGGAAATGGAACATAACATCGTGTACGAGCGTGTTTCGTATTTGCTGCGACTATATACGGCTATGTGTGGCCAAGGATAAACAACTGTATATTGTAATCATGTTTACTCGTCGTAACCCCGGAAGGGTACAACCTTTGACCAAGACTGGAAACGAGCTAATTCAAAGTACGCTGGACCTAGTGCTTGTAGAAGACAATGATGAATTGACAAATAGAAGCAATTTGCACACACAGTCTCACCAAATAGGTGGAATCATGCCAGTGTTTGCTAACTTGTTATTCACGTGAACAATCCGTAATGTCGTGCAGATTTATTCGTAATTTCGATCACGCGTAAATACTGTATAATCTTTATTACTCACGACCTGTTATAAAAAAGTATGGGTTACCACTTAACATTACAACGTATATACAAACCATCCTCTTAAGGTAGAGATGCAGTTTACCTGACAGGTATTTTAATTAGTTAATTAGGAACCAAGATGATCTCCCTTGTCCACAAAACTATATATTTTCGGAAAGCTTATTGTGTGAATTTAAAAATGTTGTTAGTATTTTTTTTATATGGACACTGTAGTTTGAAATATGCACAAAAATGTGCTTTTTTGGTCAAAAGTGACTTTAAAAAAATTAGCTTCTAAACCATGCTTCTCTTTCCTGTCAAAATCGGTTTATATGTACATCTGTTTACTATCTCTACCTTAAGTCTGATAAATACAATGATGTATTATTTATATGTGACTGTGTACATGTGATTAAAACATATATAGAGAGACAGAGCTAATCAACGCAATTGGTCACTTGCGAGATTGTGGCGCATTTTCATAATAAACCCACTACTGTTCAGTTCAGTGCATGTCCAGTTTGTTGTTTTAGTCTACACATGGTGTATTCCTGGCTTACGTGAGCTCTCTCAATGAACGGTTTTCATTCATTACAGCACAACGTTTGTTTGAATGGAATGCGGCGGGCACAGTCCGAAATATAAAGTGACAAATATATATGGCGTGGAAACTTGTCGGCCGTGCACTAAATGTCCACCCGGTACCGGAGTATCCAGAGTGTGCGAAGGACGCCAGGACACGACATGTGAGTCGTGTCGTGATGGCACTTATTCGGTGGGATGGAGTCGTTCCTCGCCATGTAGACCCTGCACCGTCTGCCCTGAACATCTGCCAATGATCAACAATTGTAGTTCAACGCAAAACTCAAAATGTTCACATATTTGCGACTTGGGTAAGACAATCATTGTTTTGTTGTGTATTGGATGAAATATCAAATGCTATTAGTATTGAAGTGGTCAGTGAAGGTGTCGGTCACGTGTCACGGTGATAGGTATTTTGGTCATGTAAACACGTGTATTGTGACAATTGTTACTGTCTTAGGGTAACATCCCCCAGCACTTTCAATATTGATTATAAGTCTTTTGTTCAATATCACTAGGATATTTTTTGGATGAATTGTCTGGACAATGTGACCATTGCTCCTGGTGCTTTCCTGACGAACCTGAAAAAGCTCCTCCGAGAATACCGGAATGCCAACAGCAGGGGCTGCCGAGAAGTTTTCAATGTATGCCGAGCAGATTCCTAGACGACGTGCCGACGTATCAACAGTTTCGAGACAGCTATAATGGTATGTCCAATAAAACGTGTAACTATGTTAATAAAAGTAGATGACTGTAATATTATCGCTTGTTATATACATGTTTAAAGCGGGATGGCTATCACCTGCGCACGCGCGGGAATTGAGTCCCAAGCAACGATAACAACACACGCTAAAAACGCAAAGGCTCGTGGGTGGACGCTTGTTTGTTTGTAAACAATGACACGTCATCATCTGACGCATGCGCAGGTGACGACTCCCGCGCTTTAAGTGTGGCTGGTAGCCTGCAGGTGAGTGGAATTTGTAATACAATGGAACGCAATAAGGACCGGATTATTTTTTTTGTATTATTATTAGCTTATTAGCTTGAAGCAAGCAAAACAATGGTACTCAGAATATTGATTAGTAAAACTTTTTTTAAAGTTCTGTTGACGACCTGATCAAATTATGATAACAATAATGCACTCCTCTCGGCGCCATATTGGATTCGAACCTTTGAACGTTCGTGCGTGTATCGATACGAGTGTCGGTTTTAACCAAATGTTTTAATTTGATACAATCGTCGTGCGAGTTTAATTTTACTTCTTATACCCCACAACGCAGATTTACACGATTAGGTTGATCGGACCAAATCTGAATTATCTGATGAATGGGTATATGTAAACTATCATTTATAATCTATCGTTTGATTATATTATAGCAACGACGTAACGCAATGTAAAAATATGGGTCATGATCTGAAAATAATTCCAATTATGCTGCCACACACATAATGTGATGACATAGAGTCGCGATTAGATGTAGTAATGACGTGTCAATATCACGTATGGATTCCATGACATTTATTATTATACATATTATTCTTGTTTACAGTTCGGGGTCAGGCTACACAGAGAACCTCAACAAATGTAACTCCATCCACCTCTGTTACCGCGTATTCTGTGAAATCGGTGACATCGTCAAATACGACAACTTCGACAGTTAAGTTGAAAGAATATCCAGAAACGGCCGCAAGTCATATCACAGTATCTCTTCTAACGTGTGCGGGCGCTGTTATTTTAATTGTTATCCTAATCGCGTGTCTAATCTTTATGCGGCGAATCCGAAGACGTGTTCAAGAAAGTGGTAGAAAATACAGTAGATTAGACGAGAGCCGTTATACAAAAGCATTACACGAAGATGATGTTGTAAAAGTGAACGTGATCATTGGCAACGATGTTGAATACCACAGTTCGATTGAAACACTTGAATATGATCGTCTTCACGAATTATCAGACGACCAGATTCCAAATCACACTAAAGAACATACTAGCTATGTAGGAACAGAAAGGAAGTTTTCCACTGCAGAGACGAATGTTACATAAACGCATTGTAGGTTTCAGTGATTCAAGTTTATGTTGGGCAGAACAATGTAATCGAGCTTGTAATTCGGTACTAAGCGGAAGGAGACAATGCGTCATGTAAGGTTTGGCATCACCCAATGTAGTATACGGCATTTCATCTTGAGATACCTAGTTCATATTTCCATTTATGTGTCTTTTAACTATATTAATGCTCCAATGATATTTTACTTTGCCAGTATTGATTTTTCTTTAGTATACACGGTAATCAGATATAAAACAAAATATCTCAGTAATTTACAGTGATCTTGTTTTCTCCTTTTTTTTAATGGTTGTGTGTATATCACGGTGATTTGTTGACTGTGTTAATGTTGCTAACATACACATTCTGGTTTAGTGGCTTTGCAACATACATCTTGAAGCAAAATATATTTCCTGTTCACGCAATTTAAAACTAGGCGACTGTCTCTAAATCATTCATATAAAATGGGCCAGTCGTAAATATTAGGTCTGTTCTTTATCGATTACTGGTGAATTGAATTACATTGTCCTTTATTGTTCGAATATGCGTAACACACGCATGACAACAGTTCGGTAAGCGGGGTTACTGTGATGGTTACTGTGGTGGCATTTGTAAACATTGCGATTATAGTTCAGAAAGACCGAGCGACGCCATGATCCCAAGCAACACTATGTACGTCACCACAACCTCATTTTGACTTCGTACCAGTTGGGGCTATTTCGCGTGTACACCCCCATTTTGCAATCAGGTTACACATTTATTTTCCGTGTACAATTCCATTTTTCAACTACATGTATATCACCTCATTGATTTAAAAAGTGGCTGTTACTAATTCATTGTACCCAATTTGAAACCAATGTATGGTTCTGACAATCATCTGCTTTCGTGATATATTTCTCAAAGATATGCTTGTACATTCATGAATGATTATTCCATTCCCGATATGTCTGCTCGATATGATATACTTTACATGTCAATTTCATCTATGAGTAGAATATTCCAAACCTTATTATCAGGATAATCCTTTACAAATATGGAATATCTATTTAAAACTATTCGGACTATTTGAAATCTTCGACAAATACCAAGTTAGTCAAGTAAAGAAAATAAAACATTAAAAAAGAAAGTAAAAAGAAAACATTGGCAAACACTTCACGAATTCCGAAATTCCAGAGTGTACACAATATTCAATTGACTAGTAAAAATAATACATCATCCCCTAATTCTTAAATTTGTATTTTATTTTGGAAATTGGACTAATAATTCGAATGATCAAAATATATTTTCAAACTGTCAAAATCTGTTGAAACATTGTAGATTTATCATGTTATTCCGCGTTTAAACGCTGCACAACAATCCACAACAGTACTGTTATCCTAAAAACTCGTTAGATATTATATGAAGAAACATTTCACTCCATAAAGAGTTCATGATGTCGATTTCAAACGGAGAATTTTAGTGACCTAATACAAACAGGACTGAAAATTGCAGCATGCTTTAGGTAAAGTTTAAAGTTTCACAACCGTCAAAATAGTGGGGTGATTCTTCCTTGATGTTGAATTAAGTATTGTTTGCCTTTATTTTTTATTTTGAGTTTCTACTTATTTAAGATTTGTTATTAAAACAATACTCAGAGAGTGGCATAACAGAGTTATCGGATTCAATCAGCGACGGATCCTGTGGTACCGATGTGACATATTTGGAAGGATCCACAAAGGTATTCGGACACTATCAGCAATAATTTTATATCAGTATATGAGCATGTTGAATACGTCGCTGTAATTGGCCAAAAGGCTCCTTGTGCAAAACTTTGAATGAATAGCAAATATTATACTAAACCAGTAACATTCAAAAAAGGAGTTAAGTATCGTTTAATTGTAAGAATACGAAATCAAATTGCAGATTTCATAGTATTAAAATACTACTAGTTGAAATAGTAATCCGGTTTCAGAATAACGCAAATAATGTCAGATAATCCAGTCGCTATATTATAATATGCTTTATAGACAGGATCAACTCACCTGAATAATGTTTTAAAGGAGAACTAAATAGAGCCTAATTTGGTATTTGTATTTCTTAAGTTATGTATATTGATTATAAATTTTTAAAAAAAATGAAAAAAAATGATTATCTTCAGAGTTATTATGATCTAAATATGAGAAACCATAACACTGTGAAAGACTTCCGTCCGCGCCATCTTGCCATAAAGTAAACGCCAGCATGCGGTATAAACAAGAAAGGCAACAAAGCATGATGAAGAAATACTATCCGATTATATGTAAACAACTTGGGGAGTCATAGTTGGCTGGATTGGTGAATTAACTTCCAGTCTTGGGAGTTTCGACTTTTACGTTACTGTTATTTACAAGCGTATCAACATTATGGATGGATGGTAAACATTATGGATGTGCGAATGATCGAGATAGGCATTTTGTTTTCTTTGTAGCCATTCGGTAGGATATGTGCCTATAATACAGGTTTTGTAGACGATGCTTGGCTTAATAAACTTTGTTGGAAAGTAACATGTACGCGATTCTCTATAAATATGCCGTGTAACACTTTTCCAGATTGAACCATTCCAAACCACGTCGTTGTTAACACGCTCGCTAACAGACGTAGAAGTAGAGCAACGACGTGCATTTATCAAAATACATTTGTTGTACTTTAGTCGCCCCAATTTAAAAACCTTGGGGGATTTCAGTCTCCTAAATCATTGGTAACAATGGACCATATCGCCGATGGTTATCTCCTTTATCGATTAAAATAAGGAGTTGACGTATATTTGTTTTTTTTTTAGAAATTGACAACACAGAACTGACGTATTTTTAACGCATCGGTGAATTACACCTCAGTAAACGTGGAACACTTACGTCAACGGTATATCGCGCGTCAATATATGACTGTGATGATGTCAGTAATCATTATGATTTATATGTACGATGACAGAGTATTGCAATAATACCGCGACTTCACTTTTGGGAGATTCGGTTGGTTGATTTATTACATGATAGATTAAAACACTGTTGGGGTAAATCCAAATGAATCGACGACTCATATATGGCTGCTGGCGTTAGAGCAACAGATGTTATCAATAATATTGATTACCTAGTCCACCCCACTGCTCGTCACTGTCTGTGATATATCGTGATAAGCACGTGGTGGGTACAGGGACCATTGTGTTCTCCCCCTAAACGTCATGAACATTATTATTTCACGGGGAATAATACACATAATAACCACACTTTAAATCTAAGTGTTTTAAAATTTTACACATTTTTGTCCCCACTTTAAAATCATTTTTAATGTTTTACAATTAAACACATTTAGTGTTTTTTTTCTTAAAATAGCAAATGCAACACTTATTATTACAGTAGTACTGTAGTAGTATTTATTGTTTTGGGGTGCATATAATCTACATAATTTTGAAAAGTCTACATGATGAAATCACTTGTAGTATTTTGATTGCAACATCTTGGAGATGTATTTTGCATATAACACATTTAAAGGTTTTCACTAGAAACACGTATTGAAAAGAGATAAAAGCGATTTTACTAGATTTTACTAGAAACACATTTTGAAAAGTGTCTCCACAAGAAACATGTATTGGAAAGTGCTTATTATCACAACACATTTAAAAGTGTTTTAACTAGACACACAATTTGTAAAGTGTTTCCACCCGAAACATCTTAATGAAGTGTTTATTATCACAACACTTGTAAAAGAGATTTCTCTAAACTTACATTTTGTAAAAGTGTTCACGACACGTGGAATGGTGTCTCAACCAGAGACATGTTTTAATGAAGGGCTATAATTACAACACTTTGAAACAATGATTTCACTAGACACACATTTGGAAAGTATTTTCCGCCAAAATATGTATTGAAAACACTTTGAAAAGTGCTTCCACGTAAACACAATCTGAATAGTGGAAAGTGCTTATAAGACACATTTTTAAACGTGTTTCCACTTATAATATGGTAACAAAAATCATTGTCATTATCATTTTGGAAAGAGTTAATGAGCAAAATATATCAAATGATTCGTTTTATGATGAGGCACTTTGCACTATTGCACAGTAATCACTTGCAGTAGTTCACTTGCAAGGTGTATTGCCAAACCATTTGACTGTGTGACTATTATATTTCAAATGAACGTTCTCGCAAAAAATCTATTTTTATATACAATAACAAAATATCATTTTGGGTTTGATGAAAAAGTAATTCACAAAGAAAATAATTTCAAGTTGACCCAGCAGAGCGCTTTTGTTGTCTAAATGTGACAGTCCGCAATTTCGAAATAGGTTGGTTTTTATTAAAAATCCTCTCACAAATCAAAAGTGATTATTCTGATAGCACATTCAATGAAATTGATTGCAATACAAACACGCCACTTATTAAAAATAGATGTTTAGACATTACATTACATGTGATTCAGACCAGTTTGAATTGTAACGTTAATTATATACATACGCCGAAACGACTGAAGGGCTGGGCGTGGATGATGGGAGTGTTCTAACTATGGTGACCTCTGTATACATATATAAATACATATATCATGTGTATTTATAGCATGTCTGTGATTAATCGTAATACTATGAGATTGAATTACGACATATTTTAGGCGTGTAGTGCTTATCGGAAATACCTACAATCCTAACAACACAATTTCCCGGTACGAAACTGTTAATACTTTCGGATGCTGATCAAATCTGTCACGTATATACATTCTCACTAAGCTAGGTAGTCGCTAGGGAACGTCCCCCTAGTTGCGGCTTGCTGTGGCTCCCTAGGCCAGGTCTAAATATTCTATAGAAACGTCATCAAGATGCGGTTCGATGGTTTGTTGGAACTCCTTGAAAACACGCCATAAATATAGTTAACTATTATGAATTCGGTTAATTTAGGGAATAATAAAAATATCTTAACAAAATATTTGTAGTTGTTTTTTTAAAGTACAGATTCCCTCTTCAGTAAAATCACAGTCACTCTACTAGGAGAGTGACTGTGGTAAAATACTCAATTCCGCTTATATTTAAACACTCCTTTTTAATTAAATACTAATGCCCTGCTGTTGGTCACGTGGGATCGCAGAGATGAGTTCGATGGTCATACCCGATAATTTCGCAAACACACGAAGGAAAAGACCTACAAATTAGTCACTGGTAAACACTGATAATTTTGTGTATGTTCTCATATTAGCATAGTTATTGAACAACTACCGAGGTAGATTGATACCACTGTCTGGAGAGAATATAAGAACACAGTGCCATAAAAATGTTCATTTGTGTTATATATTGAATCCATCTAAACAACCAATGCGCTAACAGTGATTTGTTCACGTAAATAATTATTTATTTATTGGTTTACGTTACATTTTCGACAGAATTCCCGGCGTTTTATGTGGTGCTCTCAATGCGTGTCGTCCTCGCATTGGTTGATGTGTCCAATTATATCGGTTAATTGACTCAATATCATTACAAAATATCCCGATATACGTTTTCATTATATTGTAATTAACGTTATGACGTCACGTAGACAGACATGCACGATAATTTCCACCAACTATAATCTAATATTAGTTTGAAGAATAACTACAAAAACAATATAATCTAGAAAGTACACCGCTTGGTGGCTATCATTGTACTTGATACAATGTATGTTACAATATATTCAAAATACAATATAATTAAAATTACGTACTCCCACCCTGATTTTCAGCGTACGTAACTAAAAAAAGCATATGTATTGTTGCTCATACAAAACATTACATACTCGAGTAAATTACTAATTATTAGAATGCGTGTTGGGTGGGCTAGGTACCTCAACACGTACTAAGACACAGAAAAGCCGATATCAATCGAAACTATAATTTAAACTAAATTTGTAACGCAATACACCAATTTTATAATAAATACTTGTGTAATATTTTGTACTGCACAGCCGAACAGTGGTTGATATGAAAGTGATTTCATACACCCGTCTAGTACGTCATTTTCACTTCATATGAAATGCTTTGCCTCTAGAGGGCGCAAATATTTGGAAGAGTGTCAGTCCGATCCATTGCATAATTTAACCACTTTGGTTTCGTGACTAACTGTATTACTACATGAACAACAGTTAAAATAAGGTTGAAAAGACAACATTTGCTTATACATGGTATTGTGGAGTAAAAGTAATAACATGTTTATCGATCTGTAAATAGCAATAGGATTGTCAGTGATTGAAATTATCTGTCAGTTTGAGTATTTGGGGCCAGTATGTTCTCAGATAACTGTTTAAAGGGAGTACTTATATTCAGAATTTTACCTATTCCAAGTACTCGCTAATTTAAGTTAAGTTAAGTAATGGTTGGGAAAAATCACTGTGAAAAATATACTCATTGGTTAATTTGAGCAAGATCATTAACAAGACGAATGGCAATGACACCATGGTCTTTGCTAAATGAGCTACTATTGCATATTCATTGAAAATATTGTTATGAAATAGCATCATTACCATAAAATAAATTAACTAGGACAGCTCTTCACTGGACTCCAGAAGGATGGGAAAATGGGGTCGGCCTTAAACACTTGGTGACTGGCTGTGAAAATGAAATGCCTAACCTCCACCATGATAACTTTGGACACCTCTCCTCGAAACTCCTGAACGTCGTAAGGATCGATAGGCCACTAACTTTCCACTGTGAAAAATGAAAATTTTTAACTTACAAGCCTAACATACAAAATTTGGGAGGCACTTAAACTTTATACTTATTCTTCAAGCATTAAAACAATTAACATTTATTCACACCAAACCATGCACAATTTCCTATATGGTAGCACTCTCCTAGTTTATCAAAATTAAATTTTTCTGGATTACCGGTTTTCAAGTTCAATGTAATTTCCCTTTCCAGAGATCCTTGCGGCCAGAACACCGAAAGTATACATTTGTCGAAATGTATGCAAGATTGGTTCAATGCATGATCACATTGTTATCTTTACACATCAGACATTGCAATAAAGTAATGAATATGAATTTAGCAACACGTTAGTTTTCCTTCATCAAGATATTGAATTCGAAATACATAAACAGCAACACAATATTTTCACAATTAGAATACTAATCTAGTAGCTTTGTTTTTTTCGCTACTTTGTTGTATACTTTTTGATTGCAGAATAAACTGCATCTTTCAATGTTCATTCAAACCTCAAATGCGCAGAAATAATCCACAAACATAATTAAAAGAGTAAACTGATTTATTTGAACCATACATGATCAAATCTTCCATCGCCAAATGTATACATGGATACCAGTTGAATACTGACTTGGATTGTATTTAATGACTGAAAAAGTAATACCCTGATATTATCAAATCATTCAAAATAGCTTTATTGGGGCATTATCATTTTACATATTTGAGAGAAATGTGTACTGAATGTTAAATTATTTTCAGCATGTTAGAATGATAGTTATCACTGTTGAATTGTGATAGAAATGTGTAGATTCAGAAAGATTGTGTGAATTTTACAAGGGAAGCTACATTGGATTAATATCATAAATCCAACAAAGCCGTGTAGACAAAGTATGAAAGAATGGCATTTCATTTGGGTACACATTCAGAATGAAAACGTAAAACAAGCTTTACTAGGTAGACAGGACTTCAAATTACCGGGTATTACTGTTTTACAAACAAGATAAATTTTGATTGATCAAACATTTTCAATTCCCAGATCTTAATACAATTACTGTTAAACATCATAGTCCAAAGATCTCAATAAAACTATACAGGGGTATAAATGATACATGTGCAACTTCAAAGATAACCAAGGTTATGCTACAGTGTATCATACATTAATAGGGCAATGGAGAAGTTCCAGTACTTTTAACACAAAATGGCAGTAAAAATTATACAACATTTGTTTAAATTAATATAAAATCTGTATTAGAAGCTGTTGGTTCTATTAAAATGGTACAAATCAATAGAGGGCATGTGGTTTCTATAGAGCATCTACACATATGAAAAATGATTTTTGCTTTCATTTGTTCAAAAAGAATGGGTGTGAATTCTATTAGGAATGCAGCTTCTAACACAGATTTAACGGTACTCTTTTAGCCTTGGCTTTGGTTTCAACTGGATAGACACCTTGAAGTACAATTTAGATATAGAAAGGCAAACTTGCCAAAATAATACAAAGGTACATCAAATCAAATACTGAAAAATAAATGTGGAGAAACATGTCTAAACCAAGCATTCTTCTGGGCCATTATCCATAAATGCGTGTATAAAATATGTCCTTAAAAAGCTTTTTGGTTCAGTTTAGACAGGTTTCACTATGATCACATATCTGCATTTCTCTTCACTAGTCAAATATATATTACAAGAAAAAAGTTGGTCATATCAGTTTAACTTGAACATGGTTTTAACCTCATAACAGAGTCTACCATAGTTTACACTTCAGTCAACAAGAATTTGGTTTCACTGAAAACTGTAAGTGCTATATATGTTTTAATTTGTTTTAACCTAATTGTAATTAGACATACACTGAAATAGAAATTCAAATTAAAAACAAAGTAAGTAATATTATCAAAATGGTAATAATTCATCACGAATACCAATGAGAGTGCAGTTTCACTTTGTAGACTCTGGTTTTTACCATACTTTTACTTTTATTCTGCAAACAAGGTTGTCTTTCTTTAATGGATCTCCACACTGCAATACATTGTATCACCAGCAATGATCTTTGTAAACCATAACACTTCAAAGTGAGGGATGCAAGATTACATTATGATGGTCTTAAAGTTATAAAAAAAATGGTAAGACTGTTTGAAAGATTTAGATGGGTTTGATTTTAAAATGGAGTCCAATTAAAGAAAACACTAAACACTTTAAATCTTGGACTAGATAATAGAATGTACGAAGGCCTTCAGAATCTCTGGAATGAAAGAACAGAAATAATTATGTATTAATTAGTACATCTCTACAAACTCATCTTGGATGGTTGTGTAAATAGTGCCAGATTGTGCATCATAAATAAACAATATATTTTCTGAGTGTTTATCACTCATTCCCCCTTAACCATACATGTCATGCATGTTTATTTTCAAAATAAGTATTGTCCTTCCAAAAAAAAATTTGTTGGAATTCAAAAAAGTCACAGTGAATTGGAGCACATATCACCAATGAGCAGAATCAACACAGAAAAAAATAGGACACCACAGATTTAAGAAAATCAACATACTAACAGCACATTAAAGATATATTTGTATTTGCTGTTATCTGAGCAATAGTTCTTTGTTCAACTGTCTGCTGTTTCAGACAAAGTATATTACATGTGATAAATGTATAATTCCACAACATTTCCCCTAGGATGACGTCAGCAGACATTCATGATTACCACTAGAGTAGCATTAATTTGCACCTGCAACTGCTATACACCAAAATGGAAAATATCATGGCATTATATAGGAGTATATAAAATCACTTGATCAGAGCAATGTCACCACACAATCAGAGCAATGTGATCACACGATCAGGGCAATGTGATCACACAATCAGGGCAATGTGATCACACAATCAGGGCAATGTGATCACACGATCAGGGCAATGTGATCACACGATCAGGGCAATGTGATCACACAATCAGGGCAATGTGATCACACAATCAGGGCAATGTGATCACACGATCAGGGCAATGTGATCACACAATCAGAGCAATGTGATCACACGATCAGGGCAATGTGATCACACAATCAGGGCAATGTGATCACACGATCAGGGCAATGTCACCACATGATCAGAGCAATGCAATCACATGATTAGATCAAATGTGATCACATGATCACGTGATGTGATCACATGATCAGAGCAACATCATCACATGCTACTTACTTGCACTGGTTGACATCAATGAGTGATCCTATTTTACTGGTAGTAAATGAGATGTGTTCATCACCCATGACTATCTCTAACTCTTGTCTCCCTACTCTGTCAGGTTGTGGCCAGAGTGCATCATCTTCCTGCATAATCTCACTGTCCTCAATTATCCTCTTCAGTTCTTCAATCACAGCCTTGTGTGTGAAAGCCTGCAGTAAGCATGTTGAGTTGTTGGAATATTATGTACAATCTCGCACAAGTACAAACAGTCCTGACCTATTTAGGTGTGAAGGTTTCTTCAAATACATAATGCTATTGTTACAGTCCTATTTGGTAGTTACAATATTTTGACTAATTCACAAATGATACAGTTAGCGTATCAATCAAATTGATTTCTTGAAAATTCAAGTCAGATGGTAGCATCATGTCGAAATGACAGTACAACAAGAAATCAATACATGTACATAAAGGCAAGACTAACCTCTTTCCTGATCATGACATCATTCTTGTAGTTGGAATTATTAGCATACCTCAATTTACCTTATAGGAAAAAGAAATTAAAAAAATTATTGTATGTCGAAGTTCTATACAGTTCTTAATTTTGTATTCTGACACCTGATGAAATTCTAACTTCATACACGTATCTAACAGGAGAAAATCTATCTTAAACGACACATTTTCAACATCTGAATGAAAATGGTACATTGAAGATGTTTGGTACCCTGGATGATATAGACCCCATTCTCACTGCTGGACACAATTCACCTGAATATCCTGGCTTCAACTTGGAGTATTTTCTTATGATTTTGTTTCAATTTGGGATATTTTCTCGCGAGTTTGACATATGATGCAAGTGGAACACATCAGAAGTTAAAACAGCTCTGGAATGACGCCATAGAATCAAACGTCATTTCCATGACGTGTTACCTTTATTTGGATTTGGCTAGAAGAATAGCCTTTTTAAAAAATGCAATGAAAAAGTAGTCACAAACTTTACCTCATTCTTGTGAATTATGCAAGAAGGAAAGAAAAAGGGTAAACAACTTATTAAACTAAGCAAAGTAGTATTATTCTTATTGTTATTTAAACAAAACTAAATAAATAACAAGGTGGTTACACATGTTTCCTTCTTTTGTTTTGTGCAAAGTCCACAATTTATAAGATTTGGGTACGCAAAAGTGTGACATGTGATGAATAAGTGTGTACAAGTAATAGCTTTGTTTCAAGTTCTGAATATGTGATAATCTCAGAGTACTCTCAGATGGTACTTGTAATAATAAGTTGTTTTTATTATGATGTAACAGATAAACAAATGCTAAGCCAATAAACGGTCTAACATACAAAATTCATTCCACCAAGAGCCAAATGATTTCCAAGACTTTACCGGACCTTTTCCCAAACTTGCATTTTTTCAAGCCTTTCTAAAATGAATTGATAACTATGAAGAAATTTAAAGACTTTTCAAAGATTTTTTTATTTTTCCTGTAATCTAAAGACATCTCAAAGACTTTCCAGACCTCAAAAAATCCAAAGACTTTCAAAGGATTTTCCCAAAGCTAACTTCCAAACGTGAAAACGTCATTGCGACGTTTGTCTGTGATCTCGTCTTCCGGAGCCTGGTCATTCGTATTCGTAAATGACTTGGTACTAGTGCTTCCTTCCGATAGTGAGACCAGGATACAAAAATCTCCTAACAATATAAAGTCGGCATAGAGATGATAGTTAACGCACACCTTTGTGTCAGCGACCCCGTGGTCTCAGAGTACCGCGTCAAGCACGGCAACACACCAACATGACCGGTCGATTAGTCACTACACATGTTTGAACACAACATTACAATTCAATAAGTTGAGAAATTGACTATCCCTTCACGAATCATACCACCTTCGCGATCTCTAAACAGTTACCTACCATCAGGTCTGAACTCGAACTCGAGGAATTCGTGTCCAAATTTTCCTTTATGTCCAACGTAATAACGCAAATAAAATTCGTTCGCCATGTTGCTTTTCTGTTACCCAGAATGCCGCGCTAAGGCTCAAGGCCACCCAAGTAGGTCGCAAATTTGTCTTTATTGAATTTAAAATGCCACTACACCTGGGAGAAGTAATTTGTTTGTTTATTTCGCACATGCAAACAAATAGATCATTGTTAAGATGTTGAACATCTATTCAATGTTGTTTCGTTGAAGCACCCATCGTCCCTGATTGTTTATGAAAATACGAGTACATGTATTTTCCAAGGCACCCCTAACTCACACGGAACACGGATAAAACATCTTCCGGGTTCGTTATTAGGTCATTCCATGGTCATTCTTAAAAGTTTATTTGCTTAGCTGTCATTTTTTTAGTTCTCGTTTTGATTGACATCTTACGACAGTACTTTTAGGGAAAGCTCCCAGTCACAGTTTGTACTAGTTTCTCCCACCATATCAAGCCATTTTGTCGACTTAGATCACTGACAACAAGCAAGAATTGAGGAAGCAGGGAGCAGGTCGTAAGTTGAAGATATACAACCTCGACCGCCGTTTCGATGTACTCGCTTGAGACAGTCACAATGTAAATACTTCTAGGTGATGCAGCCAACATGCGATACAATTCGAAAGAACTATCCCAGTTGGCTATACAGCCACCGAAATACTTCACCAAGGAAGGGTCACTGTTCATGAAAGAATCTAACTCTGGATTGAAAAATGAATTGTTCGGCAGGAAGAAGAACGAAAGTAAGTCACTTGTTTCCTTAAGGGGTGACCCATTTGAAATCTGGGGAGGGAGCTGGAGGCAATTGGTCTGTTGCATACTTTTTCACACTACTGTGACAGTGATTTTTTTTGGAACTTCTGTTGAGAGGACAATTCTTTCTCTTCATACTATTGCACCCGTGAGGTTTTTTTTCCTTGATTACCCAACATCAACCCCCAAAATGCTCCAGCTCCCCCACTATTCAAATGGGTTTCTCCTAATGCAGTTATTCTATTACAGAACTGTGGCCGGTCAAAACATTCCCCCCAAACTACAAATATCTGTTTTCAATCACTGCATTGCTTAGTATTTCATATATTTTTAACCACGAAAGACAAAACCGTAAAACTATCAGGGTTGTCAAACTACAGATACATTCACCCAGCCTGTACATTACAGCAAAGACAACGAATAAAAGACAGCTTAGTAACTAATCTAATGTAGCGTTTTAATCTTTATTGTCATTGACCCAAAAAAGATATATCAAATTTTATTATGGTGACAATAAAGAAATATAATTTTATTGCAATCTATTTTGAAATTACATGTATATATAGCACTCTTGATATTTATTTATTTATTTATAAAATTATTTATTCGATGAGATAAAAAAAAATGTTGAGCAGAAGAACTTTATTGCATGACAACATACTAGGGTGAGTAAGAAAGAACACTCCAAAGTTAGTCGGAAACAAATCAAGAAGGAAAGAAAAAGTACAGACAAAAAGTATATTTCAAATATATTTTTCATTGCTGTCCTATTTCAATTTTGCACTGTTTGTGCTAGTGGTGAAGTCATTTTACGGTCAACTAGTTACTTGAAATTTCTAATTGACGATGAAAATCACTATTGTCAGAAAATGCTATAGGTCTTTAGAAATCCACTGATATGTTGTGCACAATTATATCAACGAATGGGGATACATATAAAAGTCAATACAAAGAAAACAAAATCACAATTTACTAGGTTTATCGAAGGGATATGTTTCAGAATAATGGATTAATGGACTCAATAATAAACAGACTTTCTGATAAAACAAAAAAGGCTAAAAAAAACCACACAAAGTCATCTCTTCAACAATGCCAAGAACAATCATATAAATTTAAAAACAAACTACTAGTATTTGGAATGACACAATTACTCATTTTAACCCATGCTGGCAAAATTTTCCTACTTCCACTTTTAACATGTACCCTGAACCTATTGAAGTTGTATTTTCTGTTAAACCATATACCGTATTACCCCGGGCACGCGCCCCTCCCTGGGCAAGCGCCCACCCCCTGTTTTCACAAAAGTTACATGTTGGGGACATCCTCGGTTAAACGCCCAGGGTGATTTTTAGCCAAGAATTAGGTCAACAATAAAGTTGTATTTGTCAAAAACGAACGCGTTTGATTTATTTAAATAGTGTGTTTGTTACGGTAGTTCTCTTTTTGGAGTGTGTGGTGGCCCTGAAAAGGGCCGTTTTGTTTGTGTTTTAACGTAAAAACTCATTGGAAGAGCATCGCCAGGCGATGGACGCGGGGCTCTTTGGCAACGACCAAAAACGTATCCGTGTCCAGCCATTGGTTGGCCACGTAGAGGTCAAAATACGCGTTCTATTTTTACGGGTTAAGTTTGGCTCTTTTGTTTCACCCCCTCCGGAATGTTTTACTTTCGCAGCCTAATCGCAGGTTTTTCGAAAAACGTCGAAAAAACACAAGAATTAGTGGAAATGTTTCTATTTGGGGCGGATTATTGATAGAGGATAATGTCTTTATTACAAAAATGCTGAAAAACCGTGAGTTTTTGCCTTAGTTATTTTTTTATCGGCGAAAAACTGCGAACTCGGCAAATTTGGTTGCACAACTTCCCTCTATCCATGGATGTACATCCATGCTCTATCATACACCCAGCGACACCGATGCCAGCTGACTGTGAACGGGAGCTAGCACTTTTGAGGCATTGCTAACTTTCTTTCCATCCTTCATCACAGCTATGGCACTACGGTCATGTGGATTATTTTTCTGTCGTTGAAGAAAAACACATTTTGCCGACCTCAATTCTATTACGATAACCATAATGAGGCATGCCGACGATGGGAACTTGTTGCATCATAATTT